CTCCGGGCAAACAGCTCTCCAATATTGGTCCATTTGCGGCAATGATGTAGGCTAATAAAATACTTATTTGCTTCGATCGAGCAATATCATAAATAGGTAGTGGCCGATTTATCTATGGGGAGATTATTATAGTTCTGGATGTTGTTGGGAAGAGGTTCCCAGTTTACTTATTAAGGTTCTAGATTGCTACTCATTAAAATACTATACGAACGTCTAGTACAGTCATTATTATCTGTTGACTGCCTAAATTGCTCTTCTGTACGATGGAACATTCAATTTGTCAACTAGTTCGTTTGTTTGAGACGGTTACTAAGTTTATCATACTTTTATCGGTTTGCACAAACATGAGCAGACACGCAAATAGTCTGGACCTCTCAATCTTTCATACACTGAACAGCTTCCCTAAAATCCATGCTTTTTATCTGATCTTAGTAGACAGGAAATCCTCTTATAAGTAATGAGGACTTGGGGCGGAGGGCTAATACTCAATAAGCTTCCGCTTCATATATCCTTTTATCAACTAAGTTCAACTACCCTATGACCGAATGGAGTCTTTTCCTATGCTTTCGTGTTGTACTCGAAAATTTTCTAACTATTGTTTGTACGAAATTTCACTGTCAATACTGTCATCACAGCATTGTTCAGTAATATTGAATCCAAGATATATAATCATTACCTTTTAATTTTAGTCTGTGAAATAGATGTAAAAAATTCTATATGATGCCAACTGGAAAGACTACGTTTTGATCATATATATATCAATCCCAGGAACAATTAACGTTTCAAGACTGACATCCATCTGTTTCTTCCTGAATTAATATGAATTCATTATGAACAAAGACCAGTTCAAAAGAAGCAGAACATAATTTCCATAGCCTAAGTATTTAGTTTCTTTTCATACAATATATTCATATTTGTTACATAATACGATTTAAACAATCGCGTAGACGACTAACCGTCCTTTCTATGATGACCAAAAGAATTCAGTCAGCACCATGAAATATTAATTCATGAAATTATATTTCTTTTGATGACTTTAATATTAAAAATTTAACCTTTCTCATAGTTATCTTAAAGCAAGTGATTGTGAATTTTACAGTTAATGTATAAGCAAAAAATAACTTAAACATACGCTTGCATATTTTGTTATCCTCTAATACCGACTGATTTGCGTTCCATTACTTGTTTAGAGCCCTCCTAAATAGTGGCACTGTTTATAACTATTGACAGTGGTATATATTCAGCGTTATTTTAATTGATTAGGAGTTTGTGGTAATTGATTTTATGTTTACTATTATTATCATACCAAGTGGATTTAGACTTCGCCCCATTGTACAAGCAGGTGGTTATCAGGACTCAGTAGCTAAGTGGACAACGCGATGGTGTTTGAGGCGAACGATACTGAACTCGAGTCCCAAAGTGAAGATGAACTCCGGGATTCAGGTACATCCAGCTGACGAGTACCGAATAGGATGAAACGCGCATCCTGGATTCCACTGCTAGCCACTATACATCTCAGTATATAATAATATCACTTTGATTTTTGTCACAAACAACAATGGTACTACATACAAGCATAAAGATATATAATGCAGCATTTAGAATTGATCTAATTATTATTAATAGAATGATAGATAATAATCACATGATTCAGAAGTGAGCTTGGTAAAGGACAAGATATGTTTCACAACATATGATTAATTTAGATGTATAACGTGAACATTGTGAAATTATAATGTGTAGTGGTGTAATTTTCAAGTTTCAGTGTACACTTGTAATCTGAGAACACTTTGTATGTTTGAATTTGTTAGATTAATCGATTTTTTTAAGAAAAAAACTTGATTGAATAGTGTCTTTGAATTTTTTTTACTTTGTTACACTTGATGTAAACAACCGCTTTTCTTAAAACATTAAAATTTGTAAAATGAAGTTAAGTAATTGCATTATTTTAGTTACCAAGCGACTCTATGACCATAATAGAATGTCCTATTTTTTTATAGAAGGACAACTGTCGATTGTGTTTTTGTAAAGACAAAATTATGGAAATTTATTCCACATAGCTTAAAAACTATTAGTTGTACATCTACATCAAACAATTTCCTAGAACACTGTAAATAATACTTGCTGGATTCAAAGATGGTTTTCACTATGCTCGAGTTATGTGGATGAAAAATTACGTTTTCAGCAAATAAGAAATTTCTATAAACATGCCTTCCTCTCTACTATTGGCTTAAAAGCTATTGTTATATTTAGCACAGTCTAACTTCAAAAATGTACTTGTCTGAAATGTCTTCCCAATGCTTAATTACCCTTACACTGATGATCCAGTGTTCGTTAAACAGTGTTAAATACGAGAGGTTATATCTGGCGATGAAAGCAATCTATTAAGCATACAAATAATCTGCATAATCAAATTCACAATTTCCTTGAAATCAGGCTGATAGAGTAGCGTGGTAAAGAATAAACAAACCAGTAATAGAAGTGATGTTTGACACAACCAGAAAATAAAAAATAAGAGGTTATTTCATCGTAACATTTGGTGAGGAAAAACTAGTTTAAATTTATGAAAAGATAAAGTACGAGTTGTCTGGGACAATTGACTATCCCCATAATAAATGGTAAACAGAATACGTTTAGCAGTCGCAATCACAAGTTTTTGCTTTGTGATATATAAGTAAATTACGAAATAAAATACATATAGACGTTTACTGTGTAATTATTAGTTTTCTATCAAGATATAGGCTTGCGACCTAAGCTATTACTTTAGTATTTTAGGAAAATTGAGAAGTTGGTCAAAAAGCCTAATAATTCATAACAAACTTTCCTGCTTACGTTGGTCTTTTTCTTTCTTATGTAATGAGACGATGCTGTATGAGTAACACTTCTTCATACTTACTGAAGCCTATCACATTAATGCTAAACTCGAAAACGAATATTTATTGAGAGCAGTATGACTAAGGTAAACCTAACCTCCAAACTCTTTAAAAAAATGAATCGATTTATATTTGATCCTGGTTCTTTATCAAATAATAGTTAAATCCTATAACAAAATATTAAGACCAACAAACTTACATCAGACTTTTACTGAAGAAATGATATTAAGAACATTCATGACAATAAATATGTTGTGTTCTGTTACATTCACCGGCCTTAGCAAGTTATTAACTCAACAATTACTGACCTAATACTTTAAGAGATTATAAATAAATATTTCCATTACCTAAGAGAAGAATCCTTTTCTTATAGAAAACTTAGAACTATTCATTTGTAGTACCAATTTGATGTGGATATTTTTACTTTCTCTAATCTAGCAGCCTACGAAGTCTAATAATTTTAACGATATTATATTTTAAGTAATATCCTTAACTTTTTACTGCTTGCAACTTCAAGTCAATCTGATCATAGTCATGACAAGTGGCAAACTATAAAAAGACTATTCATAGATTTCCCTAACTATAAATCTCACATGTAGAAAATCGAATATAAAAAGTCTCTGGTAGAGTTCGTTAATAACATTTTCGTTTTCAACACTTGTCTCAAGCCACATATGACCTCATGGTAAAGTTTCTGCGATAACTTGTTGATCTTTCCATACACACCTCTGGAGAATTTTAGAGTTTAACTATTAAAGACCAATATTTTCAGGTTTAATTTTAGTAAATTGGTTAAACATATGATCTCCATAGATTTGATATTAGGTAAACGATTAAAGGATATCTGAATCTCCGTTACTTTGCCATCTAATTTTTTCATAAGATTTTATGACAGTTGATTACACAGACTATTCTATGACAATGTCACAGATACAATGATTATGACTTGGTCATTTTTTAATCAATAATGATAAAATGAATAAGAAAAACGTGATTTCGGACATTTATTTCATCCCACTGTAATCGCTATACTAAAATAATTTCAAGAGAAATACCACTGGAAGTTAGAGAGAGAATTAACTTGGCTATTTTTCCGGACTTGATAACTTTGTGTTAGAGAAATATGGTCAAACTCTACTCAAGATCCTGGAGTAAACCAAATTTATTTTCTACTATCATATTCAAAAATGGGTTTGTTGCATCTGAATGAAGCATAAATGAATGGCAACTGCTAGGAATTATTTATGGACTATTATTAAATATATTCTTATTGGATATTTATTAAGTAACTGAATTGTACATGTAATCATCTTCCTTTTATGATAAGCTTTCGTTTGACCTATTGGCTACTGTCATACAATTTACCGCTCTAGACTTATTCTCAATCTAGTAGTTACAGTCTCCTGTACTCACAGCCACTTTAGGCTTCATCTTGTGTGATCATTATCTTTCATTTTACGGTGTGATACGGCCTGGTTTACTGGTATATAAACCACGTATGCCTGAAATGTACGGCTTATGAGGCGTAGGCTGATATTTGTGCTCTGAATTCAAGGTGATAAGGTAGACGAGAAGCCATATACACAGAGGATCAATAAGGACTAACAGTTGACTTAAGGCTGCTAGTTCTTATTAACGTATCATCGATTTATCGCAAGGACAAGGTCATACAAGTCGACATTCTGATTGGCGGTCTTGTCACATGACATTTAACGGGCCATAGGACAAAACGGTGAAACCATAATTCATGGATGACCTTTGAGAGATGCTAAACTGACCTTGAGGATGTCCACCTACTAACTAAGACCAAATGAGGGTTAAAACGCAGTGTGAGAATTTAGAATTATTGCTTGCAGTTAGGGTTGGGACCTAGATTTTTGGTTTTCATCACAAACTGACATCAGCTAAAATGCCGAAATGTTATTTAACCAGATGAATGAATGAATTTCGCGCCAAAATCCAAGACCTGTTTTTTATATCTGATTAAATGGTCCATAAATTATAGTTTCGCCTACATGGCACAGTTATTTAGAAAGACAATTAAAATTCTGATATATGTGTTTATTTCATAAAGGCAATAGATAAAATACAAATTGAGGATTAGTACAGCTTGTGATCGGTTTACCATCAATGAAGTTGAGGAGATATAAAACTTTTATAATAATTATTTACTACAGACCGTTGTTCACTGTTCGTAGTAGATTTATTACATATTGACCATGAACTATTTTCGTGTTTAACAGAATTTACTGATAATCGGCTTGCAGAATTCAACCAGTATAATTTCTTTTTCCATTTAGTTCTGATAAATTAATTAAAAAGAAATAGATACGAAATATGAATGTTTTAATCATTCATTTCTAACAAATATGAATGTTTTATTAGCTAAATTCATGAGTCAATTTAAGCTAGACCATCATTGAAAACCTAGGAGCACTAAACGGTCGTTTAGTCATAGTATGGGACTCCTCAGAAGTGCGTATGCACGTTCCTGCATGTGGGACCCGAACCCAGGAACTTCAGTCAAAACTACAATTAATAACATAATTGAAAATAGTTGTGTAGACGAAAATTTGTTTGCACTGTTTATTCAGTTGGTAATAACTAAGGTTACATCATCTAGTTCTCAATACGGATCAGATTCCACTAATCAAATTACAATACGGTCACAGCTAACTTTGTTTGATGCTAATAGGGTTGTAGGGAATCTGTGGGAAAACTTAGATTTGAAAATGTATGTTAGTTATCATTCGTCACCACTCTGTATCTGTAATCTCAAGGGTGCTGATATTTCATGTATGATTTTAACCATTGTCATTATATGCCATGGTGAGAAGAAACACCTCTGACCAGTCACTGAAAATATCTCAGTTCTAAGTAAACCACGGTTCAGTTAGCTTAGTGGTAACGTATCTAGCACCCATTTTATCGAATACATAAACTTTCGATAATTTTACTTACTTTCTAGTGACACCCTTCTGTTTATGGACCATTATATTCACTACTTAAATTCTTTTAATATTCTTTGATTACTTCATTAAAAGTTGGGACTACACAATCAACACGAATAAAGTCTACCACCTTTGGTGATTTCGTAACTCTCTTATGTTTTACTATAGACTAATATATATAAATAATTACACATTAATATGATTGTATAGCTTAAGAAAATGCTATCATCAAAAACAAAATCTTTATCATTAAAACATCTTCAGTAGCAGCAGCATTTGTTGTTGCGTTTGCGATAGAACAGCCAGATCCTCAACGAAGTCTAGGTTGTTCAGCTGCATCCTAGCTGTCCACTGTATCCCATGCCCTCCCCCAGATGTTAACGTCTTCATGATCCAGTCGATCACCAGAAGAAAAAGAAAAGGTGAGAGTAAGTAACCTTACCTGACACCAGTCTTTACTTAGAACGAATCTGTGAGCTGTCTTCCAGGAATGATTTTGCAGTTTAATCTATAATAAGAATTCCGTATGATGTTGACTATTTTCTCAGGTACGCTGTAGTGTCGAAGAAGCCTCAATAGTGTTGTCCTGTCCATGCTATCAAATACTTTCTCGTAGTCATTGAAGTTAATGTAGAGTGATGAATTCCATTCATAAACAAAATTTTATTTATCTTGACTATAATCCAAGTGATTTTTAAAATGATGATGAAGAAGAAGTATTTCAAAACAAATAAAATGAATTATAATGACTCTGCTTCCTAAATGTTTAACCATTAAATATCATAGCTTCTATTATGATATACAGTAAAATGATGTGTATAAAATTCATACTAGAAATTTGTTATTAAACTGTTAATACAAATTTACTGCATTCTTTCTTTTTTTCAATTAACAATAAACTACACTTTAATTGACACTTACCTACGATTTTGAAACCATGTTTTAATTTGTGTCTCAGTTAGATTTAATTCATTTGATAATTCTATCCGTCTGTTAAGTTTTAAATACTTATCTTTCTAAAATTTAATTTCAAAAATAGGCAAACAGTTTTATTAAATAAGAATGTTTTATCAGATAGGGTTTTATGGATATTATAGTAATTTTAATAGTTGAGATCATGAGTCAATTAAAGCTAGACCACCATGGAAAACTTGAAAGTACTGGACGGTCTTGCGCACGAACTCTGAATCTCTAGGTTCTGAGTTAGAATCTCGTGAGGCGGGATCGTGGATGAGCACTACTGAAGAGTCTGACAATAGGATGAGACGTCCCTTCAGTGCTTCCAGGTTTTCCATAGTGGTCTAACTACAATTGACTCATGATCTCAACTAATAAAATTACCATCCAGATATGTTTAGATGACTAATAGCAATTAACAGATAATTCTCATTTAAACATTAGAAACACGAAGTTCAGTGAAGGGATCTCTTTTCAACAAGTTAGTAACGAAATATATATAGCTTGATAATAAATTTGGTGAAAAGAAATCCTTTCTCTGAAATCATGTTTTTAATGTCAATTATTATGAAAAATGTAAATAATTCTTTTTATTATGTTTATCACTTTCAAATAGATTTGTAAATACTGAAAGGATGGATGTGTAAATTTAACTCATACAGTAAAGATATTTTTGTTAAATATTAACAAATGAAACTGAAGCGAGAATAAATGATCGATCAGTTATTAATTTTTTTAACTACGCTTTATTTAAACACGTAAACATGGGTACAAGGAGTCACCAAATATATATGCGCCACGTAAATCATTCGATGTGTGTGAGGGCTGGGATACTGCCTGAGTGGCTTTCTTAGGTGGCCACTCCCCGAGCCTTTGACCTAAACATCTGATCCACGACGCAGCGAAGCAACGTCAGGAGATGCAGTCCCATGGCAGCCGATGACCAACAATTGGTTCATACGCCATTCGTTCTTTCAGGATCCTGGAGCCCATGTGCACCATCGGTATGGAATCAGGGTTTGCCAACTCCCTTGGGTAAACCCTTCGTGTCCACCAACCCGGTTAAATGGCCGGACATTCGCTTTGCTTCCTCAACAATGAGAAGGCAGTGAATAGGACTTCCCTGGCAGTGGTTGAATGCACGTGGCTATGTGAGAGCATTTCGAAAAAGAGAGCTGACTCTCCCCACTCTCGACCGTACCAGGGCATTTAGGGGCGAAGTAACCTGGATGAAAATATTAATGCCAAAACAAACGAGCTAAGAAGATTTTAGACCTTTAAAATGAGATCACACTATTGCTATTTCATAAACTATTATTTCAGAGGCATGTACACCATTTGAAATATAATGAATGTTTATAAAAGTAGCTAAACAATCATTTCTCTATGCTTAATAAGTATTGGCTAATTCGACTAATATGATATGGACTCGAAACAATTTGTATTTCGATCAGCTAATGCGATGAAATATCGACAAGACAAACTGATTCTCAGCGACATTTCTAAATAAACTGATTTATATTCCTTATGGTAATCAAAAGACTGATGATTTACATTCTATCTTATCTACTGTTCTCTTAAATTATTTGAAAAACCTAATAACTTGTTGAAAATTTTTATGATTACTATATAACTTCAAAAGAGCATGAATCCAAATTTTCTTTCACTGAACTCATCAGAATTATAAACTTAAAACTACAATTAGAAAATTCGAATATATTGAGTTCGCCTTAGACACCATTGAGTTATCCACTTAGCTACTGAGTCCTGATAGCCACCTGCTTGTGCAATGGAGTGAAGTTTAAATTCACTTGGTGTTGTTTTACTTGTATCTTCCCATTGTTATATATATGAATGATAATAATAATATTCAGTAATATCATATTAGTGAAGTTTTAAGTCATCAATTATAATTATGTTCATTGTTGTTTGTTTGTTTGCGTTTTTTTATGTTTATTTCAATTTTTATATAATTTCAATGAGACTTATTTACAATTTATTGATTGCATAACTTTTATTTATGTAAATAAATGTACATTTTCGTGCGTAGTTTAAAATGAAAATTTTATTTAGAATTTATATGTTTAAAATATTAAAATTATTGATTCAATATACAACGCAAAATATGAATTGCATGATGAAAAATTGGACAAGAACTACTAATGAGATATAGTTTTGTATTCAATTTTAGAGATCACATTGATTGATTATTGACTAGTAAACAATATGATGTTTATGAAATGACCACTTTATCACTTGATCGATTAAATTTGGTTAACACTTAATGACTAGACAAACAGAACAGGGGTTAATGCTTGTTAACCAGTCATTGTTAATATATCATTCCTATATAAGATTGTAGTGAATGAAAATGTAGTGGAGATAATTAATTTATTGTTTAATGCAAAATCATAGTGCCTTGGTAGAATATAAAAACCATTAATTAAATATATCATTTAAACACATTCTATCAGTTGTCCTCTACACACTTTATGATTTTTCCAATTCTGTTTTTATTCCGATTCCCCTATGTTCCCCTTTCCGTTCTCTTCAGTTCGATCTTATCAGTATTTTGCTGCAAAGCATTCCACTTCTGATTGGTGTTACATAACACATATGTGTCAACATAAGTAGCATGCACTACAAGGTGAGCTGTGGCCCAGATAACTTGGTGGTGACTTCTCTCACTGAGAAACTGGGTTAAGCAAGCCTGAGTGCTACGTAAAGTATTGATTACCTCAAAATTTTAAGTATACGTCAGTGATAAATGTTTACTCGTTCAAAGCCTCAATCTAACGATTCCTTCTGATTGCCTTTAGCTACCGAACACCATCGAGCATCATCATCCGTAAGTTTTAGTAATATATGGATTCAACTAGATCAGAGAATGATAGTTGCGTTATATTGAGGATTAGCGGAAGTTATGAGTATAGATTACTGGATTCTGACCCAGTTATCTACATATAATGTCTTCACTAAAAGAAACAAAGGTACATTGCATGATATTATGATGATTTGAGGGTTGATAGGGCTAAAAAGATCTAAATTAAAAATAAAACAGCCCATAATTATTTGCAGGAGGACGGGTTGTGGAAATTGTTGAACCATATCGAAATTATCAACTTGTCTAAGCTGAACAACCTTTGGAAATATGGAAGCAATGGACGGCCGATTCGTCCCAGCAGTAGTGGTTGTCCACAACATCGTTACCAGAGCTCGAACTCAGAAATACCAGTTCCTCATAAGAACATGATGTACAAATGTAATTTCAATTAGTCCATCTCCCACTACTTTGGGTGGACAGTTACTTCTTCCCCCAAGACTTAAAGTTCCAGGTTCAATCCCCCGCGACTAGTTCGTGGATGAGCTATACACTAAAACAAAACAGCCGTCTTTTGTTTCCTGGTCTTTTATTCTTGAAATTTAGCATGATTGTTAATAAAACAATACATTTGATAATAAGTTGTTAGCTAACAGATAAATAATTTTCAAGGAAAATGAAATATATTAATTTCAGTGAGTTTTTCTTCATGGTGAAATTTGAGTAGTAAATTCTTACTCTCATCAGAAAGCTACATTCATGATCACTTCAGATAGCTAAATGGTTCCTTAGAGAAGTGAATTTTTACAACTCAATACTACAATTGTGGTGTGTGTTGTCATTAAGTTACTACAACTAAATAGTAAGAATGCTCTATGTTGTTTACCTTTGGAGCCTACTAGAAATGAATTCAATTTAACCAGTCTAAATCATTTTGTAAACATATAGCCTTTGAATAGAAAATAACCATAGAGAGGTTAAATAAGATATTGAAATTTGTGAAGCCGTTTGTAAGTAAAATTATGACTTATTTACTTTAAAGAATTAAGTTACAACGTACTTCAAATTCTGTTTCTAAACGTTCAAGTTGATCTGTTGTATAAGCTTGTCTATGTTTACGTTCGAATTCAGATGTTTGATTAGTTTTAGGTAGGAAGCTTTTACGAAATTTTCTTTTTACTAACCGTTTTTCATTGTAATTACTTGTTTTTGTATTTGCATCAGATTTGAAACACCATCTTTGTGATAGATCGTCATCTGATTTAACCATATCACGCATACTTGCATAACTGTCAGAAGATTCACAACCGAATAGATAATTTGATTTGGAAAATTGATTACTACTACTACCACTACTGCTACGTTGATGATAATCCTCAGTTGCAATCATTGGCTTACAATTGAATTCCAATTCTTTGAATATTAAAGGCCATAAGTTACGTTGATGTTTGGATCGATTAGTTTGGTTAATTTTCGAAGATGATAGATCTAGAACTTCTAAAATTAAGTTAGCAACCAGTAGACATTGGTTTTCTGTTATAAAAATATATATTTATGTGATACAATTTGTTACATTTATTTTTTTATGATGAAAACGTTAACTATAGTTAATAAAATAAAAATAATATTCTTAACATTCATTTGGTGTTGTTTTAGTTGTATCTTCACATTGTTAATTAAAACTGCAATTGGTCAGTCTCTTGTTGGCATATGCGCATCCTATGCAGATTGCCTCGATATAGCCTTAAATCACAAGCTTTTTAAGAAAAGATGGATAGTGGATAGCAGTAAAGTCCAGGACGTGCGTTTAGTCCTATTTTGGAACTCGACAGCTGGATGCATTTGCAGCTGATTGAAGATTTTCAGTACTGATAGGCTGTGATAATCTGTATAAAAATGACGCTCTTAAATTCTTATGTTTTTGTATTTGTCTGCTTGTAAACTTTTATGTGATTTATAAACCATGTTGTACTTTGTACTACCAATAAGTTACTGTTAATTTATTACGAGACTGCTAGTCAGTTCCTCCTCACGTACGACTTGGTATGCTCATGTTGTAACTTCTTAACTATGTTGATGTGTTTTCATGGTTTCACTCAATATTATTATATGACGATTCATAATTTTAATTTGTCTAAATAAAGGTTTTAACTCATTGTACTGTGTTTTATTCAGTCTACTAGTCGAGCGAGCGTTGAAAACTATGTTCTGAACCAATAGTCATTAATTATTGGTTACTGCCGTTTTCTCACTATTTTCGTGCTATCATTGGTTAACAAAAGGACCTTGCTACTAGACAGGCAGTTTTAGTGAATTAATCAGTGCTCAGACCAGATCAATACAACTATTTTCCTGTACTATGATACGATCACATGAGTGACAAAACAACTCAAAGAATCTTTTCCCATCTCACCAGGTTCAAAGAGACGAATGTATATGTATCTGCGATCTGTTTGTATTATGGTTCGGTTTTGTAGTTAAAACCTGATAATCATTCTTCACTCTTGCCTTTCATTTCGTCGGTTAGGAAATGTACCTACCTAATCGAACGTCGTAGTAACGATAGCAAAATGTGTGAACCTTAGGACCATGAACTTTTAACAATAGTCTATCAGCTCCAGTCTTTTATTGCTACTAGAATTATTTTAAAAGGAACCAAAATTTCCTTGTTCAACTTGAAGATTATCTTTCTTAAGATTACAACTACAAAAGAACCCTATAAACTCCATTTTGATTTTCAAGACTTGAATGAATAAATTTTCAATTCAGTAATAGTATATAAAGTACTTTGAAATTTTGGATAACTGAGTTCAACCTCAAACACCATAGTTATTTGACTATTCTAATAGTTTTTTCTACAATGATTTTTCAGCTAAAAAAGTGCATCATACTGAAGATGACAGATTTAGCTGATACCAATATTTAGGTAAGCATAAATTCAGGTAATTATACAACCAGTATAAGGTTGTGGAGATTATCAAGTTATTGATTGAGATCTTGAACTGATTGATGTTAGACCACCATTGAAAACCTGTAAGCACTGGACGGCCATTTCGTCCTATTGTGGGACTCCTCAGCAGTGAGCATCCACGATCCAGCTCGCGGGATTCAAACCCGGGGCCTTCAGTTTCACACGGCTCAGTGATCAAGTAGGTTAAGCGTTCGTGCGTGATACTGAAGGCCCTGGGTTTGAATCTCACGAGCGGGATCATGGATGAGCACTGCTGAAGAGTCCCACAATAGGACGAAATGGCCGTCCAGTGCTTTCAGGTTTTCAATGGTGGCCTAACATCAATCAGTTCAAGATCTTAATCAACTATACAACCTCTCGCTTAATATTTCTAACTTCACCTATTATCACTTTTCCTTCAAATTTTCTTACTTAGATGACACAATAAATTACAAACATATTCACATTAAATGATGGATTTAATTTGAGGAATTCTTCAATTCAATATTTATTAATTCACTTACTTTGATAATTATGTGAAGAATTTTCCTCAGTATCATTTATTAATAACAAATTGTTATCATTACCATCTTTACATTCAGATAGTTTAGTTTGTGAAAAATTACCTTCATTAGTTTGTTTGGAAATTATTAGATTGAAAAGTTTTAAAAATTCTTCTCTAAATTGTTTATCATTAATAGAATGATAATGATAATCTGTTAAATAGTTATTATTGTTACTTAATCTAATTTGATTATCAGTCTCATTTTGTGTTGATTGATTAAATAAGTGATTATTCAATTCAGATTTAAATAAATTTAATAGATACTTTGTGTAAACCTTTGAATTCAATAAATTTAATGACTTGGAACATAATCCTATTTGTATTTCATAGTTTTTATGCTTACCAACATGATCATGATCTATGAATGAAATAGTATGTTGAATACTGTTGGATAAATTCAAGTTATTTGATGTGAAATTATTTATTGTAGAAACTGTATATTGTGGATTTTGATTTGATACAGAACTGATAAAATATGTAAGTAAAGGAGTAGACTAGAAATAATGATTAATTTTTTATAAATATAGAATAAACATAACTTACATCAATTGAAGAGCTATTTATTGTAATTGATGATTTTTCAATAGAATCTTGAAGAATTTCAGTAATCATAAATTTATTAGACATCTATAAAGGAAAATAATTAGCTTTACATTATAAACTGTATGACATAATCATGTTTGTATGTTGGTAATGAACGCCTATATTTAATTACTGTAAATGATATATATTCACAAGTGATTGATCACTGGGTGGTGATCAATTTCATGTGTGTCAAGTCCTTATTAGTGCAGTTCGAATGCTATCGACCAAGTTGCAATGTGGCCACCAGTCTAGGTGACTCGACATTGCGTGCACTATGTTGAGATAGAATGGTGGTTGGATGTAGTCAACAGGAAACCCTGGACACAGACTTCGTGCTCTTTGGCACTCATCAGCAAGGTGTACCTGTAGTCTTGAGGGAACTAGTGCTCCCTGATTCATTCGATTTCGTGTCACCCAGCATCACAGAGACGTTACTACTGGGTTATCCAACCGCGATTAACCTCCTGTTGGACTGAGATGCATTCACAATTGATTGGTCACTGAGTGGTGATCAATGTACCGGAAAACTTTATATGATGATTTTTAGGAGTAAACCATAGATTGTATGAATAACTACTCGAATATAGATGTTAGTTGATTTTGAGTACTAGTTGAAATATAGTAATAAGCTAAATTGTAGAAGAGTGTATAGTACTAAACTCGTTTAAAAATGTACACCATTGGATGTCACATTAGTGGTCTAAAGCTCTCACCTCGAGACCCGAAAGTTTTGAGTTCAATCCTCAGTGGTTGTGTTATTGGTACGTACGGCTCTAAAATCTTTTTAGTTAAATGAAATAACCATCCAGTACATCCGAATTTTCAATGATTGCTTAAATAAGAAAAATATAAGATTTAACCTATGGAAATTGTTAAATGTATTTTTAGGAAAACTGAAAGTATTTCAGTACTCGTTATTTTCATATTGACTCTCTCTAACAGTGGACACTCATTTACTCGAATTGACAGTGTTTAAAACTAGGATCAAAGATACTATCGTTACTAACGGTGGACAAGCAGCCTTAGTTTTCTGTCTTAGATTCAGTAATATGTAACACAATCTGGTATATGTATGCAAGTTCACGAGAGTGTTGTCATTTTCCAAATCATACCTCCACTCAACCAACTAAACTTGGAGACCTTCTAGGGCTACAGTCAGTCCCAAACACAAATATCAAAGGAGAGTTAGGCATAGGGTTAGCAACCGCGTCCTATAGAAAAAAACCTCCTAAAGGACTAACCATAAAAATTATTTAATCATTTAAATTCTGCTCTGGAAGTTGAAAGATCTTTATTTAGAAAAGTTATGACTCCTATTGGTGAAAGCTGAAACTCTTTCGACAGTCTCAAGTTTGATGTTACTTCTGACAGCTATTGCAATATAGATACATGGAATTTAAATGGCATTTGCGGAAAAATGCAGATGAAGACAAATAGTGTAACAGTGACTTCTACAGAGAAACGTCTCAACATTCACAAGCATAAGATCAAGATCCAGAGGCACAACGAAGCGAGCGTCAACCAAATCACACTTGATAGTGAAGATCAACAATAATTGGAAGCCTTCACATAAGTCGATGCTACCACTAGTAAACAAGAAGGACTTCATGCTAATGTCAAGAGAAGAATTGACAAAACACTGCCAACATTCATACAACTGAAGAACAAAACAACTACCAACCAACACCAAAGTCATCATTTTCAACACAACCAGCAAAATAGTTCTACTGCACACAACTGAACCTAAAATAACTCACAGTACTAACACCTAAAATCCACATGTATTTATAAACAGCTGTCTATGCAATATACTCCATATCCATCCTCAAGAGGCCAGCAATGACCAATTGCGTTAGAGAATGAACCGGCTACTTCCTGTAGAGAGAATTAGAAAACGATTGTGGAGGTGGACAGAACACATTTTACGGGAACCATTAAACTTCATCATAGGAGAAGCCCTAACTTGTAATCCTTAACGGAAAAGGGAAAAAGGAAAACTAAAGAACATATCGGTCCGGAAACTAGAGGTAGACATCTGAAGGCTGAACAGCGCTTGAGAACAACTGGAAATGAGAATTCGGGGTATATTTGGATGGAGATTCCTGGTCGGTGGCCCTATGCTGCAAGAGGAGTAACATGTATAAATAAGTCAGTAAGTACCTGTATTCAATTAGTATTTAATTATATTATATACATAAATATATATACTGTTGGTCATTTTTATCATTTTCTCATGATTCAGTGAATCTATAATGAGAAAGTATAATGGAGTGAATTAATGATACTTAATATTATTCTTATCTTGGGTCACAGTAAGTGAAAGAGGTTGTAAGTGCTAATAGCACAGATTATCGTTGAACTGTTCAACGTACTCCATAATTTAAAAATAATGTTTGTGCTTTACATTTTTTAGTGAAGATAAAAATAAAGACAAAATTTACCCCGTCATGGAAATCTGAATAAGAACGTTCATAAATAATAAAGGTAGATGTAATCATTATTCAAAACACTAACAATATGAACTCGATGTTTTTTTGTACTATTTTAATTTGTAGACGATAGTTATTTATTCAGAGGAGTGAACTTTAAATTCATTCAAATAGATTTACTAAGTTTCATGGGCGTTCGATGGTGGTTTCAAATCATCAGACCATTTTACAAACAATTATTCATATGAGAAGGGGTTTTGTGGAGATTTTAGAAACTTCACTAGTTGAAATCATGAGCCAATTGAAGCCAAATCACCATGGAAAGACTGGAAGCACTGGACGGCCATTTCGCCCTAGTATGGGAGTCCTCGGCAGTGCGCATCTACGATCCCGTCCCCCACGAGATTCGAACCCAGGAACTGTCAGTCTCGCGCGCCAGCGCCTAACCATTAGACTGCTGAGCCGGCATCCAACGGTGTTAATGTCTAACTTCAACCAATCCACCAAGTTGCGCCACCGTACACCATTGTCTTTAGTAAGCTGATATCTCACAACAGACATGGTCCTGGGCTCGAATCTCGCGGGGGGCTCAATCATGGGTGCTCACTGCTGATGAGTTCCATACCAGGACGAAACGGCCGTCCAGTGCTTCCACGTTTCCTATGGTGGTCTAGCTTCAATTGACTCATGATTTCAGCTAATTATTCATATATATAATCATTACTTGGTAATAAAATAAATCAACTAGGGTGTATATATATACAGTTTTCATGAACTTAGAATTGATATAGTAATCTGATCTAGGTTGAATTTATTCCTTCCAAAGTAATTTAATAGGTTAACAGCTGACTATATCATTATGTGTAAGAATGAGCGGCAGTGATTTGACTTATACAATTACTGAAATTTTTTCTCGAATTCAAACAGTCGTCATGAATTAAACATGCATCATCTTGGGCAATTTCACCCAGTTGGTATAATTAAGCAGTCCTACTTGAAGTTTTATAACCTATAAGTTATTTGGAATAACCAATTTTATTGAACAGATTGGTTTCTCAGAACAAGTCTTCAGTTTATTATTTATGATTATTTAACTACTTGAATAATTATAATAAGTAGTTAAAATTCACGAGTAAAAATGTAGTTAAAATCTAAAGAGAAGTTTGTTAACATAACCTAGCGTTTTCTATATTTCAGTAGGTATAATCCACTCTATTAGTTATAAAATGTAAAAGATAATACTGTAGTTATCATAAAACCAACCTTAAATACCGATTGGTGAAATAAAAACTGCAGAAATAGAAGAAAAAAGACAAGATCATATCGCGGACTGATTGAATTAAGACTCGGACACAATTGAATCCCGGCTCAGTGGTTTGGAGGTTAAGCATTTGAGTACGAGATTAAAGGTCCTGGATTTGACTTCCATTCGTTTAGTGATGGACACGTACTAGTGAGAAGTTTAGTTATATGACAAAATGGTCATCTGGTTCTGACGGGTTTTCAACGGTTATATAACTTAGGTTCTTGATCTCAATGAAACATGCCTTATTCACCGATAACATTTAATTTTAAGTAGTTATGTTTAGTTTAATTATTAACAACCATTTTCAGAATCTTTCATGTAGGATGATCTACTGTATGATCTCCTACAAATCGGCATATAGCAGGATGATAATTAGGTAATATATTAGAAGTTAAAACTATCCGGGGATCTTATTTATCGGGAAATTAATCCGAATATTTATCTTAAACTTATTGATAAGTCAGTAATTTGTTTTGTTCCACTATTGCTAGTATGAGAAAAGCTAGTAATAAGTCCTTCTTTACAACATTGTTTGACATACAAATAAACATTTTTATTCCTTAAGTAGTAAACCAGTAATTAGTTCTTTCGATATTGTCTATGTCAAGATTAGTAACCAGTCGTTAGCAAAGCTTTCATTGTATCCAAGCACATAGACCAGGGAGAAACAACCAAAAACTGGTCAGTCTTTATTATTTTTAGTATGATATAGAAATAGTTACTACTCAAATAATTCCAGTTTGTAATTTTTAAATATAATAACCAGAGAAAATAACTAAGGTCACGGTTAGTAAAAATTTAGAAAATCAACAAACAAATGCAAATGATGAATACTATCTGGATTTAGTATACCATAGCTCTTATAAGGGGTTAAGTTACTCTTGAGGATGAAAATTTATAGAAAATTTCATATGTTCTATGATCGTTGACCTCATTAACAAAACAATAAATGAGATTAAGAAGACGCGTAAAAATGTGAAATAAACAGTCAAAGTGTGGTGCGTGCTACTTATACTGATATAAGTAGTATATGACGCGAGTCAGGAATGAAATGTCTGGCAGCAGAAGATGGGGGAGATCATGAAAGGAAGAACGGGAATAGAAAGCAACTAGTATGGAAATGCAAGAACAATGAAGTCCGAGACAATTATTGGATATTTTGCAAATTAAGTATTATAGTATGGTTTTTTTTTCTATTTTACCAAATAACTCTGTAATCTGATGCTAAATATTTTTAGGTTGTCCTCACCTGTGTTGTCTTTCACTACATTTGGTGTTGATGCCAGGAGTAAAAAAACAGGGACAAT